GCAAATTGACTACAACTAAGCCCAAAAAGAGATTGTATTTGAAAATAACAATAATTTCATACCTTGATTACATTGAGACACCATCACATATGTGCCTTTTTTTATTTGTGGGAATACTTGGGAACTCATTTTTAGCTGAATTCCTGCTGATTTTACAGTTTTCTTTTACAAAAAAGTTTTTTTTGGGGGGGGCAAGAGAAATCATTAGTGAGACGGTTTTTGATCTAGGGAGCAGGATGCCGTTCCAGACTGTGTGGAGCCCTCTGGTGGTCTATATCAGGGGTTCCCAAACATTTTCACTCGGGGCCCCCTTTCCAGCATTGGGGAACAGCCTGCGGACCCCCCCCCCCCCCACCACCCCCTGCGCTCGTGCATGTGCCTCGTCTATTTATGTGGGCACAAGCACTGTCTATATCACCCTGTATCTATATCAGCCACGTCCAGACAGTGGTCTATATCACCCTGTATCTATATCAGCCACGTCCAGACAGTGGTCTATATCTCCCTGTACCTATATCAGCCACGTCCAGACAGTGGTCTATATTACCCTGTACCTATATCAGCCACGTCCAGACAGTGGTCTATATCACCCTGTACCTATATCAGCCACGTCCAGACAGTGGTCTATATCACCCTGTACCTATATCAGCCACGTCCAGACAGTGGTCTATATCACCCTGTACCTATATCAGCCACGTCCAGACAGTGGTCTATATCACCCTGTACCTATATCAGCCATGTCCAGACAGTGGTCTATATCACCCTGTACCTATATCAGCCACGTCCAGACAGTGGTCCTTGGAGCTGAATACTCCATGGGAAGTCCTGGCCATCACGTTCATGCAGTATATGGTCCAGACGGACGTGTGGCTGCTGTCAAAGTGACAACTGTTGGGTCCGCCCGTTACATAGTCCGGACACTCACGCCTCAGCCCCTTCCTTTGACAAACAAGAAAGGAATGATATGGTCATTTCAATTCAATTCAATTCAACTCATTTCATTCAATGAAGACGGTCTCTTAGGGTGCATGGTTACTACAGGATGTGACAGAACCAAAATACCTGTATTTATTGGGGGAAAATGCCTTGAAATTAATAATTAATCTTAGAGTATTTCAAGGCGATTTCTAATGAATGCAGGATTTTATCCTCTACCATTCCTGCAACAAGGAGAGTATAAGGTGTGTACTGTGAATATTTACAGTATATAGTACATGGTGTGTATATATACAGTGCCTTTGGAAAGTATTCAGACCCCTTGACTTTTTCCACATTTTGTTACGTTACAGCCTTATTCTGAAATTGATTAAACCAACAAAAAAACTCAGCAATCATCCTTGAGATGTTTCTACAACTTGATTGGAGTCCACCTGTGGTAAATTCAATTGATTGGACATGATTTGGAAAGGCACACACCTGTCTATATAAGGTCCCACAGTTGCCAGTGTTGTCTGTGGAGCTTCGAGACAGAATTGTGTCGAGGCACAGATCTGGGGAAGGGTACCAAAACATTTCTGCAGCAATGAAGGTCCCCAAGAACACATTGGCCTCCATCATTCTTAAATGGAAGAAGTTTGGAACCACCAAGACCTTTCCTAGAGCTGGCCGCCCAGCCAAATTGAGAAATCGGGTGAGAAGGGCGCTGGTCTGGGAGGTGACCAAGAACCCAATGGTCACTCTGACAGAGCTCCAGAGTTCCTCTGTGGAAATAGGAGAACCTTCCAGAAGGTCAACCATCTCTGCAGCACTCCACCAATCAGGCCTTTATGGTAGTGGCCAGACGGAAGCCACTCCTCAGTAAAAGGCACATGACAGCCTGCATGGAGTTTGTCAAAAGGCACCTAAATGACTCTCAGACCATGAGAAACAAGATTCTCTGGTCTGATGAAAGCAAGATTGAACTCTTTGGCCTGAATCCCAAGCGTCACATCCGGAGGAAACCTGGCACTACTCCTAAGGTGAAGCATGGTGGTGGCAGCATCATGCTGTGGGGATGTTTTTCAGCGGCAGGGACTGAGAGTCTAGTCAGGATCGAGGGAAAGATGAACGGAGCAAAGTACAGAGAGGTCCTTGATGAAAACCTGCTCCAGAGCGCTCAGGACCTCAGACTGGGGCGAAGGTTCACCTTCCAACAAGACAACAACCCTAAACACACAGCCAAGACAACACAGGAGTGGCTTTGGGACAAGTCTCTCAATGACCTTGAGTGGCCCAGCCAGATCCCGGACTTGAACCCGATCGAACATCTCTGGAGAACCTGAAAATAGCTGTGCAGCGACGCTCCCCATCCAACCTGACAGAGCTTGAGAGGATCTGCAGAGAAGAACGGGAGAAACTCCCCAAATACAGGTGTGCCAAGCTTGTAGTGTCATACCCAAGAAGACTCGGGGGTGTAATCGCTGCCAAAGGTGCTTCATCAAAGTACTCAGTAAAGGTTCTAAATACTTATGTAAATGTAATATTTCTTTTTTTTTGCAAACATTTATAAAAACCAGTTTTTGCTTTGTCATTATGGGGTATTGTGTGTAGATTCATGAGGGAAAAAACGATTTAATCAATTTCAGAAAAAGGCTGTAATGTAACAAAATGTGGAAAAAGTCAAGGGGTCTGAATTCTTTCCGAATGCACTGTACAGTAATAGTACGTACTCTATGGAGTAGGTGAGGCTGTAGGTGACGTTGTCGTCACTCTCGGAGCTGTTGTCAAGGGGATGCCACCAGCAGGTGAAAACCTCCATGTTGGGCGAGCGGCAGTAGTAGATGTGGGGCCTGGTCATCACGGCAACAGCACCTGGGGGATAAAATGAGAGGTTATTGACCCCAACCGTCTCTATTGACATCTGCATTTCACTGTTGTTTTGTTTCTAACAGACCGATATATTTTTTTATGCACTTTTTTCATGAATACACGTGGGATCAACAATTTGTAAACGTGAAGAAATACATGCCAAAATTATTCAGCTATCAAAATAATCCATTTTATAATATGTCAGCATCTTAACATTTCACAGGGCCTCTCAGGTGCCTTGGTTGTCAGGGCAACTCAAATCCAGGTTTAAGACATTTGGGCTAATGCTAAAAACGGTTAATCCGTTAACCATTATACAAACTCACAAAGGGTGAGGTGAGTTTGCCTGGATGGGGATGCCAGAACAACCCCATGTGATTCAAACTAAGCAAGTTTGAACACACGTGTTTTGTGAAGTTATTATATTCTTATGTCATTGAACTTGAACAGAGATCTCATATGTTTGAAAAACGAACAGTTGTAAAGCAAAGTGCACACACTGAAGGGGGGTGTCTAGTTGCACCAAAAACAAGTTGAGGCTAATATACAGGTTGGTCTTATGACTGTTGTTGAGAGCAGCAGCCGGCAGGAAATTGAACTGGACCCCAAATCAAACAGCAGGACCTCGTGAGAAGGATTACATCCCCAACAGTGACACTCAGGCTGACTGGAACAAACAGTTACTGTTTCAATCCCTTTATTTCCTTGCAGAAGCACGTTATGTAAGTTACAGTGACGTGGACACTTATGAGATAAAACTTGTATAGACAGTACGTTTTGGTTTTATGATTAACCCATGATGTGTTTTATGAGGCTATTAACCAATGACAAGTTTTATGAGGATATTGAACATGACCGTCTTGAATAATGCGGTTCAGCTGACAGTTAATGTTCTACTTATTTCCTATGTCAGGAAATACAGTGTTTTTGAGGCAATACGGTAGTGACAGACTGACTGTGTCACACACACACACACTCACACTCCCTGCTGTGGAGGTGCATCCAGGTAACATATGTTGAGAGACTTACAATGAGGTGAGGTCACTAGAGAGATCAGGCATGGCCTTGACCTATCCATTGTCTAATGACTAACTGAGATTACTGGTCCATTGAGAAGTACTACTACATACTGTACTTCTTAATGGACCAGTAATCTCAGTCAGTCAGCAAATTAAACAAAAGCAAAGAACCTTGTGCCTCCGTCGTGCAAGTTCATTGCCAAAGGATTTCTTCAGAATCACAAATCCTACTAGGAAAAGCAGGACCACTCTGGAAACTGGCCTTATAGACTACATGTGATAGGCCTGTATAACAGTACAGACACTGTTCTGTACTTTAGATAGATATAACATTGGCTGTGAACTTGGAACTGTCTACTTAATGTGTTTCATATTCATAGGTGCTTGGCCGTGTTTGAGGCCCACATACAGTACATTCGGGAAGTATTCAGACCCCTTTCCCTCTTTCCACATTTTGTTACGTTACAGCTTTATTCTAAAATTGATTAAATAAATAAAAATCCTCATCAATCTACACACAATACCCCACAATGACAAAGCAAAACATTTGTAGAAATAACTTATTTACATAAGTATGAGTTTGAGGCACGTAATTAATTATTTGTGACAACAACAAACAAGATGAAAACAGAGTCTATATACCAAGTCAACATACATACTGGTATGTCACCCAGAGGGCCTATATACCAAGTCAACATACATACTGGTATGTCACCCAGAGGGCCTATATACCAAGTCAACATACATACTGGTATGTCAACCAGAGGGCCTATATACCAAGTCAACATACATACTGGTATGTCACCCAGAGGGCCTATATCCCAAGTCAACATACATACTGGTATGTCACCCAGAGGGCCTATATACCAAGTCAACATACATACTGGTATGTCACCCAGAGGGCCTATATACCAAGTCAACATACATACTGGTATGTCAACCAGAGGAGGCTGGTGGGAGGAGCGATAGGAGGACGGGCTCATTGATGATGTGGATGTCGGGTTGGGTTAAATGTGGAAGACACATGTCAGTTGAATGCATTCAGTTGTACAACTGACTAGGTATCCCCCTTTACCTTTCCTTTCATTGTAATGGCTGGAATGGAATAGAATGGAACGGATTCAAACATGTGTGTTCCATATGTTCGGTGTCATTAATTCCATTCCATTCGTCCTCTTATAGCTCCTCCCACCATGCTCCTCTGATGTCAACATACAGTAGCGCTATATGCCAGTGTTTGTGGGTGGGGTCTCATTGTCTGAGCGAGATTAGCTATCTGAATGTGACGTGTGTGTGCATGTGTGTGTGTGTTTTCACGTGTGTGTTCATACGTGTGTGTGCATATGTGTGTACATGTGGGTGTGTGTGTGTGCACGTGGGTGTGGGTGTGTGCAACTAGCACTGTTACTGTAGTGAATAGCCATTACCCACCGGCTAATCCCAGCTGCAGATATCAGTAAACAGGAAGTAGAGGAAACTAGATTTAGAAAAAGGACAACAATGCCTCTGAAGACGTTCCTCCTCTCTGCGTTCTATCTTCTACAGTTCATGTGATCTGGGTTTTCTTCCTTCCTTGCCTCCAGGGCAACGCAGTAATCACCTTACTGTGGCATGTATTTCCTGTTCCAGTCTCAACCATACCCTGTCAATTAATCAATCACAATGTATTTACAAAGCCCTTTTTACATCAGCAGATGCTATACAGAAACCCAGCCTAAAACCCCAAACAGCAAGAAATGCAGATGTAGAAGCACGGTGTCTGGGTTGGTTCAATACCATGGTGTTCCCTCCAGCACTAACCTACCCTACACACACTCCTATGTCAACTCAGCTGTCACCTTACCTCCTCTACATATTAGACTATGAACGACCAGCTGAGAGCTTACCTCCTCTACATATTAGACTATGAACGACCAGCTGAGAGCTTACCTCCTCTACATATTAGACTATGAACGACCAGCTGAGAGCTTAACTCCTCTACATTTTAGACTATGAACGACCAGCTGAGAGCTTACCTCCTCTACATATAAGACTATGAACGACCAGCTGAGAGCTTACCTCCTCTACATATTAGACTATGAACGACCAGCTGAGAGCTTACCTCCTCTACATTTTAGACTATGAACGACCAGCTGAGAGCTTACCTCCTCTACATATTAGACTATGAACGACCAGCTGAGAGCTTACCTCCTCTACATTTTAGACTATGAACGACCAGCTGAGAGCTTACCTCCTCTACATTTTAGACTATGAACGACCAGCTGAGAGCTTACCTCCTCTACATTTTAGACTATGAACGACCAGCTGAGAGCTTACCTCCTCTACATATAAGACTATGAACGACCAGCTGAGAGCTTACCTCCTCTACATATTAGACTATGAACGACCAGCTGAGAGCTTACCTCCTCTACATATAAGACTATGAACGACCAGCTGAGAGCTTACCTCCACTACATATTAGACTATGAACGACCAGCTGAGAGCTTACCTCCGCTACATTTTAGACTATGAACGACCAGCTGAGAGCTTACCTCCTCTACATATTAGACTATGAACGACCAGCTGAGAGCTTACCTCCTCTACATTTTAGACTATGAACGACCAGCTGAGAGCTTACCTCCTCTACATTTTAGACTATGAACGACCAGCTGAGAGCTTACCTCCTCTACATTTTAGACTATGAACGACCAGCTGAGAGCTTACCTCCTCTACATATAAGACTATGAACGACCAGCTGAGAGCTTACCTCCTCTACATTTTAGACTATGAACGACCAGCTGAGAGCTTACCTCCTCTACATATAAGACTATGAACGACCAGCTGAGAGCTTACCTCCGCTACATATTAGACTATGAACGACCAGCTTACTGTACCTCCACTGTATTAGTGCTATGACTGTGGTCATAGAGGGGCTGTGCTGTGAGAGCTTACCTCCACTGCATTACCACTATTAGCTGCAGTAGCCACAACACTAATTAGAGACGGTCAGTGCTTAATTAGTTAGGATACAGAACACCTTCGACCAATTAGACGGGTCCAGTCAGAGTAAGGTCATTAGTCATGTGACCTGTCCACCAGATAAGCATCACTGACTTCAGTAGTAGTGTTGCAACATATACCATAGGCAACCCATCATAATACTTACTGTAACTACGCCATATACATCATTTATACATACATACATTACATTTATACATACATACATACATACATACATTACATTTATACATACATACATACATACATACATACATACATACATACATACATACATACATACATACATACATACATACATACATATATAAAGTAAGTCTTAAGATTGGTTTCTTGACTGCATAATTATTGTATTCAAAGTGCATCAACAACACTAGCATTTTTAGCACCGCTGAATTTAATATCAATTCAGCTAACAACGTCTTACTAAATGAAGCACACTGAAAATGTCATTCATTTTTTCTTTTTCTATATTTGTTCCCCCCTGCCCTCTGTCCTTGATCAAGCTTCTGTTTTGTCAAAAGGGAATGTATTGTACTGTACTGTATTGTACTGGTCACATTGTTCATGATGAGTCTCCCACTGTGATTTCTGAAGAGCTGCAGGGTACACAGACCATATAGTGTAAGACGTAGTAGACTAGACAGCCATCATGTCCTCCTCTCCACCATCTTCCCCCTAAATGAGTTTGAATGCAGACACATTATCTGACGGTGATACACTCATGTAAGGGGAAGATGGTGGAGAGAAGAGAGGAGGACATGATGGCTGTCTATTTTACTGCGTCCGACACTGTCTGGTCCACGTACCCTGCAGCTCTTCAGAAATCACAGCGGGAGACTTATGCCACATGCCACACCGTTACCTTAGCTCAACAACTGGGAACAAACTGGTACCTCAGCAGCTCAGCTAAGCATATGATTATTCAGTAGCTTCCGTAAACCGATATCAAGGTTTAACCAGACCAGCTGTCTTCCTCCCTCTGCAGAGGCAGTGTAGCTGTGTCTGTGGAGGCAGGCAGGCAGGTAGGCCTGATATATAATTTCAACTCATGTTCTGGTTTATTCACTGAACAAGCAGCGCAGAGCGTGGTATCGCACAAATGACAAGCTGACGACCAGGGTCCGCTATGACAGGATAGCTGGCTGCCCCACATCTGTTCCTCAGACTGGAGGGGGAACGAGACAACAGAATTAGGAGCACTGCTTGCTTTTGTTTCAGTGAAATGTTTTCCACAGAAAGGACCAAAATGCTGCTTAATAAACCCAAGTGACTGAATAAGAACATCTCTTCAATCCTGGTCGACAAGGGTGTGGACTGTGGAGGCAGTTTTACAGCCTAGAATAAACACAATGTATTATAAATTGAACTAGTTATCTAATTATTGATTTAACTAATCAGCAAGCCCTTGATTAGTTTAATCATGTGTGTTGGTGATGCACTAACTAAAACCTGGCAACACCAGGACGGAAGAATACTGTTCGGCACCACAAGAACAAACAACTGCATCGGAAGTCCCTGGACCGTGTCTAAAGAGAGAGCCGTCAGCAAGGCGCTTGGTCTTAAGCATGCCAGTGGCTGATTCAATGAGGCACACTGGGCTCTCTGTGTCGACTTCTGAGAATTGAGACATCTTTCTCTTGAACTGAATGCAGCTCAACAAACAACAAACTGGTACCGTACAGACTGAACCCATGGAACGACAGGAATTACCTCCTTTGTCCAAACGAAGTGGAACGGGAGGCTGGACAGAACAACATAGCAATCAAAAATTTAAGAGAAAGAAGCTTTGCAGTTCGACCAGTTCTCTGTATTGAGCAATAGATCATTCTAATAACTTAATTTACCTGACACTACCTGTCGCCATAACAGCAGAAACAGAATCCAATATCAATTGGACTGCAATGTTGCGACTACTGCACACAGAGACACACAGTGACACAGATACACCCACAGAGATACACAGAGAAAACACAAAGACACCCACAGAGACACCCACAGAGACCCACAGACAGCCACGGAGACACACAGAGACACAAAGAGACACAAAGAGACACACAGCGACAGAGACAGTCTATCTAGTGGACTGTGAGGTCAGTCTGTAGTGGGCCGTGTGACTCACCGTCTCTGTGGTCGTTGTCTGGCTGTAGAAGGTTCTGGGTCAGGGCGCTGCATGCCACCCCGGGCAGGACAAGGACCAGCAGCCACAGCATCACACAGCTGTTCTCCAACGATCTGCCAACACACACACACACACACACACACACACACACACACACACACACACACACACACACACACACACACACACACACACACACACACACACACGCGCGCGCACACACACACACACACACACACACACACACACACACACACACACACACACACACACACACACACACAAACACACACAGGCTACAGTTACACATCTGACTGTAGGCCTTCAGAGGGACCTGTGTGTGTGTGTGTGTGTGTGGGGCAGGTGGGAAGGGGGGCATTATAATGTGGGACAACATCCTCTGCAGTCATGGGACAGATCACAGGACACCCCCACCCTCCCTTTACCTCCCCCAATGTGGCAGAATCACAACCATGCATCACGCCACAACAGTCAGAGGCCCCAGAAGGCGATATTTCCCCCGTCACAGTTACTAACCTCAGAGTCACCATGACCTAAACAACAAGCCCATTTCTGGGATTTCGCCTCACATCACCATGACACGTCAAAATGTGTATAATTATGCGTAGTCCAAGCCAGTGACTTAATGAGCTTTTCTTTTTAGCGCATTCATGTGAGTCTTATCATTTGGTTTCTCAGGTTTTACATCTCAAAAGGCGGGTGGATGAATGCCTGCTGTTTAAAACGTAGAAGAATGTTCCGTTTAGTCTCCCAATTGCTGATCTGTTAGATTAAGCATTCTTTACACTGGACTACAGCAAAGACCTCTGAATGTCTCAATGGCTCTGTCCCAAATGGCACCCTAATTCTCTTTTTAGTGCACTACATTTGACCCATATAGTGCACTATTGTCACGATCGTCTAGGAGTGAAGGAGACCAAAGCGCAGCGCGTTGAACGAACATGACTTTAATTGAAAAAGCACCGAAATACAAAACAAAAGACGACTCGTGAAGTCCACAGTACCACGACTGAAACACGGAACATCTACACACCCTGACTAAACACAAAAAGTCCTAGAACCAGAGTGTGACAGTACCCCCCCCTAAAGGCGCGGACTGCGACCGCGCCTAAATACAAGCAAACAGGGGAGGGCTGGGTGGGCATTCCTCCTCGGCGGCGGCTCCGGCTCCGGGCTTGCTCCCCACTTCCTCTCCAACCCCTCAAAGTACCCCTGGTCCTGCCTAGCCCCGCTGGCCGGAACCGGACTGACGACACGCTCCCCTGGCTTGGTGCGTGGATCCTGGCTGGACGGCTCTGGCGGATCCCGGCTGGACGGCTCTGGCGGATCCCGGCTGGACGGCTCTGGCGGATCCCGGCTGGACGGCTCTGGCGGATCCCGGCTGGACGGCTCTGGCGGATCCTGGCTGGACGGCTCATGGCTGGCTGACGGATCTGGCTGCTCATGGCTGGCTGACGGATCTGGCTGCTCATGGATGGCTGACGGATCTGGCTGCTCATGGCTGGCTGACGGATCTGGCTGCTCATGGCTGGCGGAAGGATCTGGCTGCTCATGGCAGGCGGAAGGCTCTGGCTGATCCTGTCTGGCGGAAGGCTCTGGCTGATCCTGTCTGGTGGACGGCTCTGGCTGGACAGGGCTGACGACGCACCCCGTAGGCTCGGTGCGTTGAGCAGGGACAGACAGAACCGCACTGGGGACACACACCCCTGGCCCTACACGGGGATCAGGAACGGGCCGGACCGGACTGGAAACACCCCCCAGTACCTCTCGCCGTGCCTCCACACTTTCCATCCCCTTCGTAACCAGTGGCCCCCTTAAACTGGCGGCCATATCTGCCAACCTCTTGCACTCCTCCGGGCCGTACACCTTCTGCCCCGACGTCGTGAGCCCCCCCCTAAAAATTTTCTGGGGGTCTCCCCTCTCGGTGGACCAGGCCTCCATAGTCCTCTCCCAACCTTCGCTCTTCTGGCTCCACCACTCGTTATCCAACTGCTGCTTGGTCTCGTTGTGGTGGGTTTTTCTGTCCCGATCGTCTAGGAGTGAAGGAGACCAAAGCGCAGCGCGTTGAACGAACATGACTTTAATTGAAAAAGCACCGAAATACAAAACAAAAGACGACTCGTGAAGTCCACAGTACCACGACTGAAACACGGAACATCTACACACCCTGACTAAACACAAAAAGTCCTAGAACCAGAGTGTGACAACTATAGTTGGAATAGTTTACCATTTGGGACACATTCAATGTATGATGGAACATTTTATGTTGGAGCTTTTCTATTTATAAATTTCTGTGTTCATGCAAGTGACTGATTGAACAAATCCTCACTATCAGTATCTGCAATTTGGCAGTACGCCCAGAACCTTGTTTTGAGAACGAAAGGATATCTCAGTTTCAAGGTCTCAGCTTAGAGAAGAAGCCTTGTGAGGTATTGGTCTGTCACATGCATGAACCAGTATTGGTCGGTCACATGAATGAAGCAAACGTTAATGATGAATTAATTATGAATAAGCTAAATCATGCAAATATGACTGGTCTGCAGTATATAAGAGAACTAACGGGACTGCCCCATTAGAGCTTCTGACAAACGTTCACTATTGGTTCATTAAGTTTGTTGGAAACTCTCCAGCACGCTGGCAATAAACAATGATTCATTTAAGATTGACTTTGGGTGTCCCTGTGTAATAATTTCCACGCCAAATGTCTAAAATGTCTATCAACACTGCACCTCTTTATGATTACAAGACTTGCTAATGTGGCATATTCTACAGTAAACAATGTTTTGTTAGTAGGCTACCAGCTGAAGGCAATGACATATGATATCCAACAACAACGGGCGGCAGGTGGCTTAGTGGGTAAGAGCGTTGTGCCAGTAACCGAAAGGTCGCTGGTTCTAATCCCCGAGCCGACTAGGTGAAAAATCTGTCGATGTGCCCTTGAGCAAGGCACTTAACCCTAATTGCTCCTGTAAGTCGCTCTGGATAAGAGCGTCTGCTAAATAAGTTAATTAATTAATTAATAACAAAGATGCTATAAAAAGCAATAAAGAGATTTAGGTTGAAGGGGAAAGAAAAGCTCCATGCAGACAGACAAGCGAACAAACAGACCCACAGACAGCTCTTAGGGATCAACGCTGTCAGCCAACACAGACAGCCAAAAGGTGTAGAGGTTTAGATAGATAGTTGAAGAACAACAATACTGTGTATTTATATATTCATCAACATCTGGGATCGTCCCCTGATTCAAATCCCCCTGGGAACAGATGGACCTGTGTGTGGGTCAGCGTGTGTGTCTGTGTGTTCTTGTGCCTGTGTATAATTCCCTGGGTCAAGTCTGACAAGCCCAAGCCAGGGCCTCTCATCTCAAGACTATTCATGATGGCAGACTGGGAGTTAAATAGAGCTAGAGAGTAGTAGCTTATTCTACTAATCAGGACTAGTGTACATTTACTCAGTTACAGAAGCCCCTTGGAAAATACACCAGAGGCTAAGCTCACTCAGTCATGTAGGACCGCCCAGTCTGCACAGTCACAAAGACATCATTGTCCAATGTTAGCGCTGAGGGGCTAGTTATTCAATTTGGCTGTCTGGTTATCAGCGGTAAGCAACGAAAAACAAGGTAAACGAAAGCCAAGTGTAAATGCATTTTTAATATTACTCAAAAGTGCTGGTTCTAATTTCCTGGCTGTTTTCTGAGGTGTTTTCAGTGTTCCTAGTTTACTGTTTCAGTTGGTGGTGGACTGTTGGGGATTGTTTGAGGCTGTTTAGAGGGTCATCTTGTGACACAGCAGTCAGAACATGGTGGCACGTGTTCCGACAAAGCCCAGTAAAGTATGAGCATTTGAGCCCTAGATTTCAAGTCTTTTAGAACTATACTCTAAAGACAAATACTGCACCAAAAGAGCTTAACAGCTTAAAAACGACATCAAGAAAAATAAGAGATTTGCTCCAAACAACTCCCACCGGTCCCCATGTCATTGGACTACACTGACATTGGGGATAATCGGCTTTTTGATCTGTGGCTGAAGTTTGGATTAAAGGAAGGAGCTTATTACAGCCTCCCCTGGCTGCTCTACAGCAGAAGAACAGAAGGACGGTCCTTCCAAACCAAGTCACCTGCCTCTCCTTCACTAACCCCAGCCCTCGCCCTCTCTCCCAGGGCTACACCCAGGGTTCCAAAAGGGTTATTTAGCTGTCCCCATAGGATAACCCTTTTTGGTTCCAAATAGAACCCTTTTTGGTTTCAGGTAGAACTCTTTTGGGTTCTATGTAGAACTCTCTGTGTAACGGGTTCTAAATGGAACTCAAAATGGTTCTACCTGGAACCAAAAAGTGTTCTTCAAAGGGTTCTCCTATGGAGACAGCCAAATAACCATTTTAGGTACCAGTTAGCACCTTTATTTCTAAGAGTGTAGGTGTAACCAGTGTGAAATGGCTAGCTAGTTAGCGGTGCGCACTAGTAGCGTTTCAATCGCTGACGTCACTCGCTCTGAGACCTTGAAGTAGTTGTTTCCCTTGCTCTGCAAGAGCCGCGGCTTTTGTGGAGCGACGGGTAACGGTGCTTCGAGGGTGACTGTTGTCGTTGTGTGCAGAGGGTCCCTGGTTCAAGCCCAGGTAGGGGCGAGGAGAGGGACGGAAGCAAAACTGTTACATACGTCACTGCTCAAACCCCTGATCCACTCAGAGGCTGGTGCACTTTGCCCCCCGCCCGCATCCTTCACCACACAACCCCCCTCCTTCTCCTCCCTCCTTCCCAAGCTGCAGCCTCACAGCTTGGGGCCGCCCTCAGGAGCTGGAGGATAAGAAAGGATCTGCTGTCTCTCATTCTATCAATTCAATTCAAAGGGCTTTATTGGAATGGGAAACATATGTTTACATTGCCAAAGCAAGTGAAATAGATAATAAACAAAAGTGAAATAAATATGGGTTGTATTTTCAATGGTGTTTGTTCTTCACTGATTGCCCTTTTCTTGTGGCAACAGGTCACAAATCTTGCTGCTGTGATGGCACACTGTGATATTTCACCCAATAGGAATGGAAGTTTATTGTGGGTCTGTGTAATCTGAGGGAAATATGTGTCTCTAATATGGTCTCTCTCTCTCCCTCTCTTATTCTGTCCCGAGCAGGAGTATCTGGTCACCCCGTAAGACCTTATGAGTGACAGCTACCTACAGCTAGTGTTCAGCCAACCACAGTGAGACACAATAAGGCGCTACCCTGAAAGGGGAATCCTTTTCAAATGAACCTGCTCATGCCCTCCCCTCAGCCGAGCGCTATGGGCTCTCTGTGTCTTTTTGGTCAACTGATCAACTGACCACCTGACTCAACGGACCAATTAGTAAAGACAACAGTTGCACTGTAAACAAATAATAATCCTGTGTCTGAATATTACTGTGCGTTATGGCTGATTTATAAATATGCCTACTCATTGGCCACAAAGCCTCTATTAATTATTTACCGGCTGGTCTGTTGAGTAGAGCCTGGGAACAGTTGGATTTCATTCAAAATGCATAGCTCTACCAGACACCAGTGTGCTGTATTGTTACTGTATATGTGAGTGACTCCACTTAACTGTGGTCTGGAGGGAGGCACTCACATGAGGTTCGCATGGTGAAGTAGGTAAAAATTAACCAATTAACTATGTAGGGACTTAGTGTCTGCGGCAGCGGAACAGCATCCCAGTCAACACCTGTCACAGGAACAGAATTAGCTCCTTGACCCTGTGCTATACACTGAGTGTTCCAAATATTGAGTTGCACCCTCTTTTGCCCTCAGAACAGCCTCAATTCGACAGGGCTTGGACTCTACAAGGTGTCGAAAGCGTTCCACAGGGATGCTGGCCCATGTTGACTCCAATGCTTCTCACTGTTGTGTCAAGTTGGCTGGATGTCCTTTGGGTGGTGGACCATTCTTGATACACACGGGAAACTGTTCAGCGTTAAAAACCTAGCAGCGTGGCAGTTCTTGACACACTCAAACCGGTGCGCCTGGCACCTACTACCATACCCTGTTCAAAAGGCATTTAAATATTTTATCTTGCCCATTCACCCTCTGAATGGCACACATACACAATCCATGTCTCAATTATCTCAAGGCTTACAAATCTTTCTTTAACCTGTCTCCTCCCTTCATCTACACTGATTGAAGTGGATTTAAAAAGTGACATCAATAAGTGATCATAGCTTTCACCTGGATTCACCTGGTCAGTCTGTCATGGAAAGAGCAGGTGTTCCTAATGTTTTGTACACTCAATGTACGTGTATAATACACACCTTTACATGTGTGAAACTGGACAAATAAAAGCACCCACCTAATTATTTGTATAATAGTTTATTATAATTATTTGCGGTAGGGAAGTCCCACAATTTCCTAGAGAGACTGGGTGAACTTTTCTGAGATTGGGTAGCCTTGCCAATAGTCGCATAGGCTACTGCAACTGTTTCAGTCTCCAGCCATTGAGGTGCGTCATCATATCTGCTAGCCTGCTCTCATGTCTGCCAGAGATTTCCACAGTAAGAAACGTGAGCATTCTTCAACTGAATGGTTCACGCCTGATGCCCTCAATTGCCCTTCGTGCCCGCTCCCATACCCTATAACTCTGTATATCTTTGTGACTGTAACGTGTATACAGGTAGACCAGAGAAGCCTCATCCCTGATTGGAAGATGAGTGACCACCCTGATTAGAAACACCTGCTGCTTACCTGTGTTCCCTCTAAACACTGAAGAAGGCTGCAAAGCCTAAACGTCTGTGTACGCTATCCTTGATGCAGTAAAAAAATAAATTATAATAATTAAAAGTGAATTAAGCTTTATGCGACATCCTTTTGAGCGCAGACCCATTACATCTTTTGTCTGTCATTCTTCAACTGATTAAATAAGTTTGATTTGAACAAAATTAGTCACTGATGTAGGCTAGCAGGCCAGCTGCAACCAGTGGCCATAAAGGCCCTTGAGGAAAAACTAATCCAACATTCAGGAGGATCACCACTAAAACTGTCGCTAGGAATAATAATGTGGCCATTCATGTGGCTATTATATGTAGTGGGAATAGCAAAGTCATTTGCAGTTAGATTATTGTGGCTAAACTGCCACAGTTATCCTTACAAAAATGATCTGTTTGATGTTTAACCGTGACATTTTGGAATGTTCATTCAAATCGTTCAACTGAAATTCTTACTAAGTAACATGTTTGCTGCAAACAGAACACTTGTTGAACTCACCTCAGGGAACACTGGAACACTGCCAACATTCCATTAGAGCTCTTTGTCCTCAGACAAATCTCTGATGACATTCTGACCTACTAAAACTATTTCAATGGCCCTCACAACATCGCCTGAAGACCTCCTCCAAATAGCCTCCTACTCAGAAACCTTTAATCTCTTTTTAAAACCCAGGTAGATAGTCTAGTGGTGCAGTACAGTGACCCAAATACTGATCCTAAGGCATAGGGCCATGGCCCAGTTTCCAAGCCAATACAGCACATATGTCCAACTGACGTTGACATTTTGCTGTGCCATCACATAGGCTGCTTTTACCTTGAATACACAGTGTATGAGCCAATTCCATCTTAAGTTCTCGTCCCAAGTTAACTCTACAAATGGCAGTTGAGGATAGTAATGAAAAACACCTCATAGAGAATTACGGGCCACTACTACTGCACTTTACAACTCACTGGTAAACATACTTAGCCTTATTCATCATGTCTTTCAGCCTCTCTGAATAAGGTAGGAGTTGATATTGCCCAAAGGGCATTATTTGCCCCTCTTTGACCGGAAGAGTTACTGCACTGTAAAGCTGCTCCACTTTGATGGCACATCTTGTTTTTTTTCATGTCCAGCAGCAAAAAAAAAAGAATAGGGGTCGCCTTTGGTATCAAGAGTAGGATCTCCATGGTTACAAATGTAACTCTCTCTTGTGTACGCAACAACAGGGAGCCAACGTGTTCTCTTTTAGGGGTTTTAGCACATGGCTTATCTGATCTGGACAAAAGACGATCGCTGGGTCACACAATTCCACCTGGAGATTAAATCAATGCAACAGATGATTTTCCCTGGACTTGGAAACAACTAATCCTCTGTTCTACTTCCTCTCACTTGCATCACAAACCAACATATTTTTTATGAGATTAGTGAGGACTTTCAAATTCAGGGAATATAATAATAAAGCTGTAGGCTAGCTGGTAATGAGGACAATCTGGGATATGAGGACAATATGGGATATGAGGACAATCTGGGATATGAGGACAATATGGGATATGAGGACAATCTGGGATATGAGGACAATATGGGATATGAGGACAATCTGGGATATGAGGACAATCTGGGATATGAGGACAATCTAGGATATGAGGACAATATGGGATATGAGGACAATCTGGGATATGAGGACAATCTAGGATATGAGGACAATCTGGGATATGAGGACAATCTGAGATATGAGGATAATCTGGGATATGAGGACAATATGGGATATGAGGACAATCTAGGATATGAGGACAATCTGGGATATGAGGACAATCTATGATATGAGGACAATATGGGATATGAGGACAATTTGGGATGATGGTGATGGCCCTAAAAAATAACCACTCTATAAGGATAAAAGTACAAGGGGTTGATGTCAGTAATGAAGTCAAGTCATCATAGAGCAGAGAGGGTCCTTGAGGTTGGTGGGATCCCAGACCTGTCATTACTATAAAGATGGTCCTTGAGGTTGGTGAGATCCCAGACCTGTCATTACTATAAAGATGGTCCTTGAGGTTGGTGAGATCACAGACCTGTCATTCCTATAAAGATGGTCCTTGAGGTTGGTGAGATCCCAGACCTGTCATTACTATAAAGATGGCCCTTGAGGTTGGTGAGATCACAGACCTGTCATTACTATAAAGATGGTCCTTGAGGTTGGTGGGATCACAGACCTGTCATTACTATAAAGATGGTCCTTGAAGTTGGTGAGATCCCAGACCTGTCATTACTTGTTTTTAGTAGAAAGGTTCTCATAATGCCTGGGGACCTTTGTAGTCATCTTATTATCTGTGAATGTGTTATAGAGTGTACCTATAATGCTACTTTGCGACTACTGTCATTGTGCATAATGTGAAGGAGGTCACTGGGCTTGTTTAACCGACCTCTTCTTCCCTTACCAGCTCACATCGAGACTGGGACTCAGAACCTCTGTCTCGCAAACACATGTGACCGCCCCCTTGATGACGTCTTAGACATTTATGCCACCGATAAACTATTAGGTAGCTCGGGTGGAGACAATTCAAGCTGAGGAGTGAGATGGTTAAATGCCCATCTGGAACGCGTCCTGTGTTAGGCATTGTTTTTACAGCCTCATGTCACCCATAGAGTTCCCCTCAGGATAAATTACTCAATTCCAATATAATCCAATAATTCAATAGGCAATCTTGAAGAAAAACAAGAGTGCCTTAATGGAGAAAAAAAATGTAGTCCCACGATAAATGTTTCTACATTTTTGGTTTTACTAAGTGGTGGAATTTATCCCCTTTGTTTTTCTCCAAGATGCTGAATTAGTGGATTATATTGGAATGTAATCATTAATCCAGTCATAGACGACCCTTTTCAAAGAACACCTTATATAAAGCCTCAATGATCTTATAGTTATTACCTATTCAAGCGCACCAGCACATTGATTTTCCTCCCCAATAAGTAAGTTATTTATCACCAGTCAGATCCAGTAACAGCAGTTTGTACCAAGTACCAGGAGCTGGAGCAGCTGACGTTACTGAACTGCTATTACAATGCTATTCCAGAGTCATTAAGATAGTTATACTCTGTATCATGATGATAAAGCATCGTGAATCAGCAGTAAGTATCGTGTGCTTTGATTGGTCACTTTGTACAGTACGGGGGGGGGGGCTAATACATAGTCTCAGCTGCAATCTACTAGTGCTAATTCTATTAAGCATGAGGGTTACTGGGACAGCATCTGACACGCGTAGCTGCTCAACGACTTGCACTCGTTTAATCTCTAATCCAAAAGAAAGATGCACGCACAAACACAGACACAGTCTCTCGTGACAGGCTAGTCTCTCATGACAGGCTAGTCTCTCGTGACAGGCTAGTCTCTCGTGACAGGCTAGTCTCCCGTGACAGGCTAGTCTCTCGTGACAGGCTAGTCTCTCGTGACAGGCTAGTCTCTCGTGACAGGCTAGTCTCTCGTGACAGGCTAGTCTCTCGTGACAGGCTAGTCTCTCGTGACAGGCTAGTCTCTCGTGACAGGCTAGTCTCTCGTGACAGGCTGTTAACATAGCTGGCTAGCGTTCACGTGAGATTTGGCTCTGGGTTCTGAAACACACACACACACACACACACACACACACTACAAAATCATAGCCCACAAATGTCTACTGTTTTCAATGTGTATTTTGCTGAAAGGTCTTTTTGTGTGAAAAGTATCAACTATTTATACATCAATATACATCACAAAATAAACATTGATGATCTCCCTGTCTCTCTCAGAGATAAAACAATAAATACATGCCACAAAGCTTCCTTCTCAACAGATACAGTGCCTTGCAAAAGCATTCAGACCCCTTGGAGTTCTTTACATTTTATTGTGTTACAAAGTGGGATTAAAATTGATTTAATTGTCATTTTTTGGTTAACAATCTACAAAAAAATACTCTAATGTCAAAGTGGAAGAGAAGTACTTTTTTTCAAAAGATAAATAAAACATTCATAACTAAAATATAATTGTTGAATAAGTATTCAACCCATTCATTTAGGCAAGCCTGAATCAGTCCAGGAGTCAAATTTGGCTTAGAAAATCACATAATAAGTTACATGGACACCCTCTGTGTGAAATAATAGGGGTTGACATGATTTATGGCTAACCCTTCCTCTGTCCCCCATACATACATCTGTAAGGTCCCTCAGTCAAGTATTGAATTTCAAGCACAGATTCAACTACAAAGACCAGGAAGCTTCATACAGAAGGGCAGTGATTGGTAGATGGGTAACAATAACAAATCAGACATTTAATACATCTTTAAGCATGGTCAAGTTAATAATTATCCAGTGGATTATGTATTAAACCACCCAGACACATCAAAGATACAGTCGTCCTTCTGAATTGAGCTGCAGGATAGGAATGAAACTGCTCAGGGATGTTACCATGATGCCATTGGTGATTTTAAAACAGTTACACAGAAAACTGAGAATGGATCAACAACATTGTAGTGACTCCACAATAATGACTTAAATGACAGTGAAAATAATACAAATATACAGAAAAAAAAGATTCCAAAACATGCATCTTGTATGCAACAAGGCACTAAAGTAATACTGCAAAATAACATAGCAAAGGAATACACTTTTTGGCCTGAATGCAAATCCTTATGTTTGGGGCAAATCCAACAGAAAACATTACTGAGTAACTGCCTCCTTATTTTCAAGCATGGTGGTGGCTGCATCATGTTATGGGTATACTGGGGAGTTTTTCAGGATGAAAATAAACAGGATGGAGCTAAGCACAGACAAAATCCTAGAGGAGAACCTGCTTCAGTCTGCTTTACACCAGAGACTGGGAGAGGAAGTCACCTTTCAGCAGGATAATAACCTGCAACACAAGGCCTAATCTACACTGGAGTTGCTTACCAAGAAGACAGTTCATGTTCCTGAGTGGCCAAGTTAAAGTTTTGACTTATATCTGCTTTAAAAAACAAATATGAATCCAAGGGGTCTGAATACTTTTGCAAGGCACTGTCCATGTGGTTCCATAGCGTTTCTAATAATCCTGCTGTCTGTCTGTCTTCCTGTGTTTCTGTTTCTGGAAGCTCAGCGATGTACAGAACGTGATGATAGCTGAGGGAATGTCCTTGGAGCCTGGCTGCCCTTGTAAAGTCCCTCTCCCTTTCTCTCTCTCCTTTCTCACTCTCTTTTTTCACACGTTTATCTCACACTCTGTCCATGATAAGGCACCAGCTCAAAGTCCCCCTGCACATGCCATTCAGAACTCTGTGAACTCTGAATTCGGTGACCTCTGAACTGCAGCGTATTTGGTGTTTTATAAGTGAGGATGTAATGTGTTCAGATGGCTGGAGAGGAGGAACATGATCTTCTAAGATAAACGTGTGAAAACAGACATACCACCTAGTGGAACTGGGCCATAGGCTAAATACTGGGAAAGAAGAGTGGGACCCGTTGTATTAGGTGTTGGGTGAGGCAAGAGCAACAGAACGTTTAGTAATCTAATAATTGGCAAATGAGTAATGGAGTAAATGTTCTATTCGGCTTTTGATACTATCATTTCAGGTCTCCCTCGTAA